TCCGAGCTCCCTACTGAGAACCCGAGCTCCCTGCAAGGAGCACGAACTATCTCGGGTCCCAAGCCTCACAAAACTGTGACCCGAGCTGGCCCATGGCAGCTCGGAACACTCCCCAAACCGAACTCCAGACCTCTCGCTCGCCACTCCAGCACTTCACTTCCGAAACACCAGGTTGACCAAACGTACCTGACACCAAGGACGTCCGTATCCAAGGGCGACGCACCTGACTGATTTAGGATCTGACGACTGACAGCCGCACTTCAAACGGCCTCCTGCTACCGCCACTTGCCACCGTCGTTACTAGCCGCAGAGACGGCTCCGACAAAAGGAGCAGTGGCGGTTCTGTCCGGCCAGAGGAAATGACATCCGAACTGGCAGGAGCTCAGAAATAATCATGCCCGATCTGACGGAAGCCTGGAAGTGAGTGCGCGAGGTGGTTATAAAAGRCTCCTACCCCCCAAGAACGAGGTATGCTAACTTTGCGCTTTCTGGTCTATCTCGCCTTTGAAAGACTCTAACTTGAGCTTTGGAGCCCTTACGCCGGGTTCTCCCCGGAGCTTCTTCTCTCCCTCCGTTTCAGGTCCCTACCACTCAGTTCAGAGGCAAGATCGTTGACAGCTAAGACCGACCGGATTGTGCATCATAGATTTTTCCAATTTAAATATACCAATTTGATAGATAATATATTTGAACTGGTTAGATTTTCTAATCATTGATACGAATTTGATTCGGATAGTAGTGTTCCATTCCATGCGCTGAAAAAACTTGAATCACAGTCGATAGGTGTTTGGTAAAATCTTAAAATGTCCAAAATGGGATTTTCGGTGAAATTATATTAGGTAACTTTTCTAAAGCGGTTCAGTCGAGTCCAGATCACCTACCCACAAAACTGCGTTTCAACATTCTACCAACATCATCGGATACTGTACATTTCTCATAGATGATTGGATAGTGGGTCCCAATTTCATAGTGAAATCAAGTTAGTAGGGTGTTGCAACGTATTTTGTTGGTAATAATCGCAATTCGGTTCAGTTAATACAAATCCTCCAAACGGGCTAAATCCTGTTTATAACGAAAATATTGTCTTATTACCTTCCTAATTTGTTAGTTGACGAAAGAGAAGCAATTGACAATTTGAACCTTTAGAACCCTGACATGGGGCTATTGGGCTCGGATGTTCTCAATATACGGTGGCGGTGTTTGGTGAGTATAGATGTGACAACAAGTAGTGGGTAACATATCCGGAGTGCCCTGACACAACCTCAGCGACGACGCGCTTAATTGTTGTGTGTTACTGTTACTGTCGTCAAGACTGGATCCAGCGTACCACAATAGACTTAACACAGAAAAAAGAACAAAAGGAAACCATAATCAAATCAAGTGGCATGTAATACTTACTTTGTAATTTAATCCGTTAATAAAAGCCGTCATGATGACTAATTATGCTATCATGGCAGAGTCCACGTTCAACCATCCTTCCAATACGATCTGAAACGGCACATTTCATACATTTAGCGGATCCCAATTTAATGGTGAGATATGCGATGTCAGATTTGTTGGAAGCGTGTTAGAAGGAGATTTCAACTCATCTAGTTGGCTCAACAGAAATCTAACCACACTTTTTTTTTTTCACTGCCGCTCCTAGTAACAGTACAAGAGAGCATGCCTGAGTAGTTTCTACCCAGATGATGACGGTGGAGACCACATGTCCATTGTCGCTCTGTGGGATCCTATGGGTGACCATGGTCCTGCGAGACATGCTAGTGTTTCTCTTGATAATATATTAATAACGCTCACAGGAATTTCACCGTTGAAGATTCATATCTCTCCGATCTCTCCCCAAAACCAAGACTCCATGCTTTGAACCTCGTGTGAAGAAATCAGCACATGTAGTAGAGTAGTAGTGATGTATGTCAGTGGTAAGCTCCACTTTACATGTGAGACGTGACCCCTATCCTAATGAAGCCAGTAACGAGTAGAAGAGAAGGGAGAGAAATGAATTAAAAGAAAAAAAGAAAAAAAGAAAAAAAGAAAAAAAGAAAAAAACATTATAAGAGAAGAAGCGCGGGGGAGCGAGCGAACCAGTCGGGGGAATTCAGTTGCAGAAATCAAGGAACTTAAAAGATCTTTCTTATCTACCGACGAACTGAAAACTCGCAGAGCCAAAGCAAATCAATCGATCGATCCACCGAAGATGAAGGGGAAGAGCTTGAATCCTCTCATCACTTTCGAGCACAAGAGGTAGCCGAAAATCACTTCCATCTTCCTACCTCTCCACGCGTCCTTGAATCCCGATATCGTCGCAATTCTCTTTTGAGGAAAAATGTATCAAATTCTAGGGTTTTCTTTGTTTCTTTCTTTTCGATCTTCTGAGTCCCGCTTGATGGAGGGATAGATCATGTCGATTTGTTGTTAATGCGCGTAATGTGCTCTGTGATTCTTGTTTAGCTCTCGATTACGTCGATCGCTTTGTTGTTGGTGAAGTTTCGACCTTAGAGTTTTATGATGAAACCAGTGTGTTATGCTGATCTGTTTATTGTTCTCTTGAGGATTTCTTTCCATAAAGGAGAGAAATGTGGCGATGACAGTCAGTAAAGGACGATTTCATTTACATTTTTTTTTTGTATTGCTTTTTGAATTCCATTTGATTGCTCAAGGATTTAGGGTTTAGGGTTACTGTAATGTGCCTATTTGGTCTCAATTTCAATATGAAGTGTGAAGGAGGGTTTGAGTATTAGTTACTCCCAGTTTGCCCGGAGCCAATGCCGAGCGCTATGGGCAGTAGGATTCTAATTCTGTGTCGAATATGCTGTTATCCTTTCTGAGTAAGCGCACTTTGGACGCGGAGTCCAGGTAAATTGAGCGGAGTGCTGCTCTGTGATTTTATAGGAATATTATGTTCTATTTCCAGTGAAGTACGACGACTTTGTTAGTATTTGATATCACCAAAAGGTCATAATTCTTTCCCAACTTGTCTGCAAAATGCAATGCTTCCGGTAGTTATCATAGAAAACAAGGGAATTATCAGTATTTGAGAACTGAACTGGCATTGGTGTACACAGGGACGCTTATGGATTTGCTGTTAGGCCCCAGCACTTGCAGAGATACAAAGAGTACGCTAATATCTACCAGGTATTTTCTTTCCTTTTTCCTCTCTATAGTTAAACGAGTGAACTGAAAAAACATATATATAAAAACTGCTTCCCTTGTTTTCTGCGTTTTCTTTGTTTATGCTTCCAGGAGGAGGAAGAAGAGAGGTCGGAAAGATGGAAGAACTTCTTGGAGAGGCAAGCAGATTCTGCTCAACTTCCTGTAAATGGCGTGTCTGAGGAGGGAGAGAGCACAATATCCCATGCTGAAGGTACTGTGCTTGAAGCAGAGACTGTTTCAGAGGCGAGTACACAGGAGGAGGGTTCAGCTGAAAGCCGCGGAGTCTTTGTTTCTGGGGATTCAACTGAAAATGTTCCAGCCAAGGAATTGTCTGCAACGAAGAAAATAAAACACCATAAGATCCAAATATGGGCTGAGATTAGAGCATCCCTTGGTGCCATTGAACATATGATGAGTTTCCGTGTTGCGAAGAGGAAGAATTTATTGAAGACTGACCAAGAAAGTGGAAGTGGAAACCATCTACCTCCAATTGAAGAGGCAAGACCCTCAAAAGGTGCTTCCGAAGAAGACTCTGATGATGAGTTCTATGATTTGGAAAAATCAGATTCAGTTCAAGACAACTCTTCAACTGACAGTGCTTACTCCTATGGGCCAGTGAATTCTGCTAGCGAGGAAGCCTCTACAGATAATTTCTTCCCTTGGAAAGAAGAGCTGGAGTGCCTTGTCCGTGGTGGCGTTCCGATGGCTCTCAGGGGAGAGGTACAATTGTCACCCTGACCCTTGAGTCCATTGCTTCTCCTTCTAATTTACCATGCAAGTAAGTAATGTTCATTTTGTTCTCTTAAAAAATAGCTTTGGCAAGCATTTGTGGGTGTGAGGGTGCGCCGTGTGGAGAAATATTACCAGAATCTGCTGGATCCAGAAGTTAATGCTGCTACTGGCAAGAATTTTGGTAGTTCACGTTCTGATGACACCAATAAGGGGTCAAATAACAATCACAATTGTGCTCCGGAGAAATGGAAAGGGCAGATTGAGAAGGTTGTTAGATACCTCGGATTTGAACTTCAAAATTAAATATTATCAATTCATGGGTGCTGCCTTTGGTCAGCATGGTAATGCCATCAAAATTTCCAACAACCTGATTTGTATACTTTTTTGCAGGATTTGCCTAGAACATTCCCAGGTCATCCTGCTCTGGATGAAGATGGTAGAAATGCTTTGAGACGCTTACTTACGGCATATGCTCGGCACAACCCTTCTGTTGGATACTGCCAGGTATTTGGGCTTCAAATAAGTGTTTATGTTGGTGACAACCGTCAACTACACATGGGGGAAATACAAGGATTTTTTGATAGTGAACTGTTTGGCTAATACAATGGCCAAACAAGGGGTGAATAGTCTTCTGAGGGGCTATCTGTCGTTGATTGTTGTATTTACTAAGGAGGCTAGGTTTGGTATAGTTTACAAAAAGGGTTGATACTGCATTATATATAAATATATATTATTTATTATCATTAAAATTTTGATCATTACACACACACACACACACACACACTAGCGTAAGAGCACATGCTATGCACGCGTGCAAGTAAGTATTAATCATATATATTATATGGTATTTGGGTTTAACTTTTATGACCTGCACCTAAACCAAGGCAAGTATTTGCTTTATATAGTATAGATATATACACCAAATTCTAATCAATATTTTGCTTTATTATATATATTATTTTATTATTATTATTCAAATTTTGATAAATACCAATAAAAAGAGATGCTTTACACTACAAACAAAATAAGAAGCCAACTCTACCTTATGGCTATATTTTCTGTGGTGAGATTTCTTGAAGCTTACTTGTGATCTATTGAGAGGGTGGTTTACAAGGAACCTTTCCCCAATATTTTAGAAGGTGCACCTAGGCTCACAAAGGGTTCTTATTTCGTGAAGTTTGCTTAGATTGTTGATTTTTGTTGATGAATTAACTTTGAATTTGATGCTTTAGTAGGTAATTTTACTATATTGTAGGTTTTAGCTATGCCTTTAGAGTTTAAATAGTTTGACTTATGTGAAACTTTAACCTACACGGTTACAAATATGTTGTGTCAAACCTTGGGCTGACAAGCATGGGAATGTAGGTTTGAGTTTGAGAGGGCCCACCTGGCCACCTTGTGTTTAAAATTCCAAATGTTAGGTCTGTCTCCAGTCCTCACCTTTTTGAGTTGGCTGAAAACAAAAAAGACCTGGTGGCTAGGAAGTTGGTGTGGGATGTAAACTCATACATGGATTCCCAAGTTCTGGGTGAACTTGTTTGATTGGGAAGCGGGTGAAGTGACTGCGCTGTAGCCAAGCTAAATGGGTTTGGATGAAGGTAGTTAGAAGAGATCAAAGAGTATGCAAGTGTGAGGGGTTGGGTAACTTCTTGGTGAAATGTTTGTACACAAGAACATCTTCAGTTAAGTTACCTTTCCAAGTTTGACACTCTGGAATTCAACTGTTCTATCCAAGATTGCCTTTGTGGTTTGGTTGGGTGATCTTGAGAAATTGTCTAAACAAGCTCACGTTGATCACTTAGAATGACTATCCCCTCATCATTGCCTGGGTGGGTTACAAGATTTGGTTCTTTTTCCTCCAAATTTTGAATGTCATCTGCTGCTTCCCTAGGACACTTCAAAGAAGTCCTTCATTGTTAGGGTGTAATGGGCTCACAAAGAGGGTGGCTGCCTTTACAATGTCTTGGCCATTGGGGATGAAACCTGTTAGGAGTGTTCCTTCTTCTTCTTCCACTGATTGGTTGGGAAGTTTGTTTGTATAAATATATAATTTTTGGGTGTGTAGAGGCTGAAATCATTGTCTATAGTTGCTCCCTGGTTGAGAAAAAGGAGAGGACAGAGGGGGAAATGTTTCTAGGGGGGACTGAATCCTCCCAGAGGAGCTAGAGAAGATCTGGAGCCAGAGGTAAGTAGAGCGGTAGTTCTGGATGAGGAGGTGGAGGATAGCAGAGGCCAGGGGCGGTTATCGGAGGAGAGGAAGAAAGAGGGAAGGGAGAGGGTTCTTTCAAGATCCGTACCTGAGATGGGGTCAACCAAGGGGGTTGGCTCGAGAAGTCAACAATCCCTCTCCCACCATGTGATGGAGCTGAGTATTAGTGGTCAAGAGGGAAAGGAGGTTCAAATTTTAAACAAGGACCAAGGAGGAGCGGGCCTTTCTAAAGAAGCCTTAAAAGAAACTATTCTAGAATGTTTAAAAGAATTGGATTGGATGCCAGCTAGGCTAGAGCAACAAAGGGGGGGGACCACTGAATTTGGCAAGCCCAACAGGTAGAGAGACCCTTGGGGGTTCAGGAGTAAGAGAACCAGGGGTAAGTAGTGGGGAGGACTACTCTACCCCAAACGGCCCAAGCAACCCGAAAGAAACTTGGACGCATCTAGTTTCTTCTCAAGTCCTTCTGAGAACTTGGAAGGGTGAGTGTGCTTGGCCATCGGGTCCGAATTGGTTAGCCTCGACAGATAAGATCTTCCCTGTAGAAAGGGAGAAATGGTGCTCAATTGCAGGCCGGGGTGAAGCTGAGAGGCGCAAGAAACCCGCAAAGGCCCCTTTGTAAGCAAAAGACGCCTTCTAGGGTCTCCACTACCTCAGTCTTGATGGAGGAGGAAGTTCAGTTGGCTGCTGCGATGACAGAGACAAGTCAAGAGGACTCAACTCCAGAAGAAGTTACCCCGTTGGCCATAATTGAAGCTAGAGAGGAAGCTACCCCACAGTTACATCTGCCGGCTGAAATCCCAAATTATTAGGTACGCAATTCCATTTTGATTCGAGAGGGTGAACAGAGAAGGGGAAAGGAGGTGGTTGCGGAGGGGGAGAGGGGTGAGAAAAGTGAGGGAAGGAATAAGGTCAACTCTACTTCGGCCTGGGTGACTTCAAAGCTGTTGGAGGAGGAGATAGTTAGCTATTTAGAGGGGATAAAGAAGAGGTTGTTGGCAGAAAAAGAAAAATTGAATGCCAGAAAAGGGGGAAGTTCTTTCAAGAAAAATAGGGAAATGCTAAGACTTTCTTGGGGTTTGAATGAGAAGGCGGGGAAAGGGGAGGGGGAAAGAAGGGGTAGAGAAGAGTGAAAGGCTGGGACAAAAAGGGGGGGTGTTCTTATTGTGTTTTCTTTATGGAGTTAAAAATCTTGTCTTGGAAAGTGAGGGGTTTAGGGTCAGGGAGAAAGGATGGTGGTGTGCGACTTATTGAAGAGATGGAGGTCGGGGGTGCAAGCTGAAACAATCAGGAGTATTTGGGGAGAAGGGGAGGTTAAATGGTTCTTCAAGCCATCTAGAGCAAGTGCAGGAGGCTTAATTACCATGTGGGATAGATCGAAATGCAAGATGATTGACTCCCATGTTGGGGATTTCTCCATTTCAGTTGAATTAGAGTGGGAGGGGGAGTGAGGGGTTTATTTACCAATGTTTATGGCCCAACTTTAAATGAAGAAAAAGAAAGACTTTGGGAGGATTTATCTGAAGCAAGAGGGTCTTCCACAATTCCTTGGGTAATAGGGGCAGACTTCAATGTAACTAGGTTTTTGGAAGACAGAAATGGTGGTAGAAGTGGAGCTAGAGACAGAAGGCGATTTGCAAATTTTGTGAATCAATTTGAACTGATAGATCTTCTGCTAATTGGGGCCCAATTTACATGGACAAACAACCAAGAGAATCCGGCCCTAGTAAAACTTGACAGATTTTTTGGTGTCCCCAACGTGGGAAGACCTATTCCAAAACCTGAAGCAGCAGGCTTTGCCAAGGCCAATTTCAGACCATTCCCCTCTTCAACTTGTTTGTGGCGGGCAAGTCTGAAGGAATCATAGCTTTAAATTGGAACATGCTTGGTTTGAAGAAGAAGACTTTGTACCATTTAAAAAAAACACTTGTTCTGAAACTCAGGTGGTTGGAACAAGCTCTTACATTTTAGCAAAAAAAATTGGGTGCAATTAAGGAGTCTTTGAAATCATGGAAGGCAGAAAATTGGAATAAATCTGAAAAAGAAAAGAGGAGGTGTCTTGAGGAAATCAAAGAGATAGATTCAACAGAGGAAAGAGGCCCCATCTCAGAGGAAGATAAGAAAAGAAGACTATCATCAAAACTGCTCCTAGATAAATTAGCATACTAGGATGAACTGAAATGGAGACAAAGAGCAAAGGTGAAATGGCTCAAGGCTGGAGATAGAAATTCTAGCTTTTTTCACAAAATGGTAAGGGCTAGAAACAGAATAAATAGAATAGAAAAGCTGGAACTGGAAGGGGAGGTTGGGGAATCTTGGAGAGACAAGAAAAGAATGGTTATAAATTTCTCCACGAAGCTCTTTAAGGAAGATTGGAAGAAAAGATCTCTGCCAGAGGGAGTTAATTTCAAAAGAATTTCTAAGGACCAGCAAAGATTCTTGGAAGCTCCTTTTTCGGAAGAGGAAGTTTGGCAGGTGATAAAGAATCTAGATCCAGAGAAGTCCCTAGGTCCGGACGGGCTTACCAATTTATTTTACAAAAGCTGTTGGGAAGTGGTGAAAATAGATGCGATGCAGGTTTTCCAGGAATTCCGTAGGAATGCCTCATTGGAAAGAAGCCTAAATGCCACATTCATCTCTTTGATCCCGAAAATTGAAGGAGCTACAAAATTGAAAAATTTCAGACCGATTAGCCTCCTGAATAGCTTCTATAAGATTTTGGCCAAGATTTTGGCAGAGAGGTTGAAAAAGGTGCTGCCGAGTGTGATCTCTCAAAATCAGTTTGCGTTTGTCCCTGGGCTTTGAGGTGGTGCCAGGAGGGGAGAAGGTTCAGGTACTGCAATTTGCAGATGACACCTTATGTTTTATGGAAGCCAATGAAGAACACTTAGACTTATTATTGGGAGTTCTAAGCTGGTTCGAAGTGGTGACAGGACTGAAAGTTAATTGGAATAAAAGCTGTTTGATCCCAGTGGGAAAAGTGGAAAATGCAGAGGATTTGGCAGAGAGATTAGCTTGTCAAGTGGGGTTCCTTCCAGCAAAGTATCTGGGACTCCACTAGGAGCAAAATGTACTTCTGCATTGATCTGGGAACCAGTCTTAGAGCGGCTAGAAAAGAAATTGGCAACTTGGAAGGCCAAGTACTTGTCCTTGGGGGGCAGAATTACCCTGTTAAAAAGCTCCTTATCCAACTTGCTGGCATTTTATCTCTCCTTATTCCCAATTCCAAGCAAAGTGGCCCAAAGAATTGAGAGGCTGCAAAGGGACATTTTATGGAAAGGTTGGGAGGAGGATAGGAAGAAAATCCACTTGGTGAGTTGGGGAGAAGGTGTGCTCTCCGAAAAGTAAAGGAGGTTTGGGTATCAGGCTAATGAGGACTTAATAAGGCTCTTCTTGGGAAATGGATCTGGAGGTTCGGGTTGGAAAGAAACCACTGGTGGAGGAAGTTAATGGCATCAAAATACAATACAGATAGAGGAGATTGGATCACCACTTCTTCTCCCCCATCCTTAGGCTGTTCGGTATGGAGGAAAATAATGGACACTCTTCCCATTTTCAGTAGAGGTTTAAGCCCCAACCTTGGGAAGGGTGACGGGCTCCTTCTTGAAAGATCTCTGGTGTGGAAATGCTCCTCTTTCAGAGTTATTCCCACATCTATTCCAGTTAGCAGACCATCAAGATGCAGTGATTGCTGATTGTTATGAGGTGGTGGGGGAACTCAGTAGCCTGGTGCCCTTCTTTCAGAATGAATTTTCAGGATTGGGAAATTTCTGTCCTGGCCGACCTACTCGATCTGCTCTCCCTTCAACCCCTAAATCTGCTCAAAGAAGACAGCTGGTCCTGGACTTGGAATACAGATGGCCTCTTCTCAGTCAAGTCATTTGCCATTCACATGACAATGAGTACTTCAGAAGAAATGCCTGCCTCCAGAATCTGGAATCCAACCTCTCCCTCAAAAATCAATGCTTTAGTGTGGGCTGCAGTTCTAGACAGGTGTTTAACTAAAGCCACCTATGTAAGAGAGGGGTTCATATTCAGGACCAGAGGTGTGTGTTATGTGGTCAAGGAGTGGAAGATAGCAGTCATCTGTTTTTGCACTGCTCAATTTCTGCTAGTATTTGGAATCACTTTCTTGGTTCGGTGGGTCCTGCCTGGTCAATGCCAGCTTCGGTGAAGGAGTTGATGTGGAGCTGGGGATTACAGGGATTGTCAAAGCTTGCTTCAGTAGTGTGGATGTCCATTCCGGCGGCAGTTATCAGTACCATTTGGGCAGAAAGGAACAAAAGATTATTTCAGAATATCTATGAGGATCCGGAAGACCTGATAGCTATTTCTTTTGGAAAGCTGATTTCTTGGGTTTCGGCTTCGAAGGGAATTCAGGCTGCTTAGTTGGGGGCTAGTCTGAATTCTAGGAGCCTTTGGCATCTGTAATTGCATTACCTTCTCTCAAAAAAAAAAAGGAGAAAAGACCAATTAGAGCTATTTGGTCAGCACACTACTAACCTCCTTATTTGGACTGAAAAAGGAGTAAACTGCTTTTAAGAATTAGAAGTTCAAAGCTCCTTTTCTATTTCTTATAAAGACCTCTTTTTTATAACTTTTCGTTTTCAAAAATAACCCTCATAATTTTTGTTGAATGACATACTCTGCCCTTGGGAATCAACAAGAAGCCTAAAAATTCTAAACAAGAAAGAGACATTGTTAGTTGTTACTCTTCTTCACTGTTGTCAGTAGTAGTGGGTTCTTGCACAGCTGTATTGAAATGAATCCCCAGGGATCTAGTGCCACCACTGATGTGGTTAACAAGGTTTGGGGTTAGTGGGGAAAGAATGTATAGTGGGTTCTCACATGGCTAATGGCACATGTTTTTATGGCATTCATTTATGTATCTGTGTCCATTAGTCCATTACCTTACTATTAATGCAATCTTTTGAACTGATATCCCTCCTCTCCCTGAAAAAGGCAGGTCTATCAAGCATGTAAAACAAGGGAGAAAAACTGAAGGACAAGGGAAAAACATAATACCTTCTGACTCCAACAAAATGGATAGTCAATGGTGCTGATAAAACAGGGGCAACCACTGCTAGAGAGGGGAATTTATTCTCAATCACAGTAAACTGAGCTCATAACTGCTAAAATGTTATGCCAATGCTAAGCATATATTATTATTCATAAAAAAAAAATGCCAAGCATATATTATTGAAGAGAGATTCTACATGTTTCCTTCAAATTGTTTTTTGTTATAAGCTAGGTGATTAAAAGGGAATCTCCTTTCTTAATATGTATGTAGTATGCATAGTTATGCCTTTGATGTAACTTTTTTATTTATGCAAGGAAGGACCACTTCTTTATTTAGTGATCAAGAAAAAGAAACCTAGGTGACTAAAAGGGTTTTGCTGCGAAATATTATAATTTTATGGATTCTGGGTCTTCTTCTACAGGCATCTTACCGTCATCTATTTGTTTCTTTAGGCCATTAGTTTGTTGATTGTTGCGCAATCAATAATATTCCTGTTTCTATTATTGTCTTTTACAGTTTTGCAGTAATTGATTGTGCAATGTTTATTAATCAGTTGCACTTTTTGTTGGATTCTATGTACATGCAGGCCATGAATTTCTTTGCTGGACTATTATTACTTCTGATGCCTGAGGAAAATGCTTTTTGGTAGAGTTGAAGGCTCCCCTCCTTGTTCTAACTTAAGTGGATTTTTTTTTTTGAAAGTATAAGGTAAAGTATTTCATTAAGATCAAAGAGCCAAAATTACAACGAAGCCTCTGTACAATGAGAAGCTGTACAGAGGGAAACAGCTTGCCAAAAAAAGCCACCCTAAAAAAAAACTATAAATTCCTTACAAACAGGAAATCTAAGTCAAAAAAGGAAGAAATATGTCTATTTTTGAATAAAGGGTGGATTGCCAACCAAGAATGCACCATCCCCATGATCTTGTTTAGGACTTCTTCTTTTGAAGAATGTTTTCCTTTGAATAATCTTCTATTTCTTTCACACCAAATTGCCCAGAATACTACTGCAGGTAGGATACTCCAAGTGACCTTTCCAGCCCTGGATAAACCTCCAAGTGCCCATGCCCCTATAAATCCCTTCACATCAGCTGAGAAGCACAACTTAGCCCCAAACAAATTCATCATTCTCATCCAAACCCAGTAAGAAAAGTTACAATGGATCAGCAAATGACCAGAACATTCCACATTTCCCTCACATATAATACAGGCCATATCTTTCACCTCTAGACCTCTTCTAACTAAATTTTCCTTTGTTAGAATCTTTATCCAGCACTGCTGACCAGACAAAGAAAGCCAGCTTAGATGGAACAGATCTAATCCAAATTCTGGTACTTGGAAAAGAAGAAGGCTCCTCTTTGACAAGCTATGGAAACAGTAGTCTGCTTTTCAAGGAGATGATGCATTTAATTCTGTTTCTTTGAGTTATTTTGTTGAACAACATTTGTAAGATTGCAGAACACGATATTTTCTTTTGGTAGGGTGTAACTAACATGTTTTGTGTTAATAATGGCTCGATGGACCTCTTTCTTTTGATTGATGACAGTGAATGACTTTGTGGAGCTTTTCCTTTCCAGTTCTAATTTCTAACTTTCGATTCTTCAGGACCTTGGTGGGTATTATTGATGACTACTTTGATGGCTATTATTCAGAAGAGATGATAGAATCTCAGGTACATGCTTTTACATTTGAAGAAGTTGATGCACAAGCTATCTTGCTGGTAAAGTCTCTGTCTGGTAGTAGAGACCTGGGATTGGATCCCTGCCTTCACCAGGGATGGATGGGCTTTGGGGTTCGGGGGAGGGCTACCTCTTTGTGTGGCTCCTTCACCTAGAAAAGGAAAAAGAACCTTTAAATATCATTTATAAAAAAACCTTTAAATATCCTCTTGGTTATGCCCTCTAAAAGTTAAGCAATCCGTGAAAAAACTAATAAAATTTAACATAGATGGATCTCATCATTGTACTTGTGCTGTTTGTTTAGGTGGACCAACTTGTTTTTGAGGAATTAGTACGCGAGAGATTTCCAAAACTGGGTTTGTATTTCACTATAATCTTTTCATTTTCCATCATGTGTGACTTGTGGAGTGGTTTCTTATTTTATTATGCTTATGGTGCAGTCAATCATCTTGATTACCTCGGAGTGCAGGTTGCATGGGTTACTGGACCCTGGTTCCTTTCAATTTTTGTGAATATGCTTCCCTGGGAAAGTGGTCAGGTTCTATTTTGTATAGTTACTCAAATCCATTAAAAGTGACTGTGTTTGTGCTGATATTCAGCCACAATCACAGTGTGTGAGGTATATCTACCTTCTAATGGAATGCTTTTGCTTCAGTTCTTCGGGTATGGGATGTGCTTCTGTTCGAAGGAAATCGCGTTATGCTATTTCGGACAGCACTTGCTTTAATGGACTTATATGGTACTGGGTAAATCAAACCTTGGTTTGTGATTGGTTTGATATATTTAGGGAGCAACTTAAAAAGTATTGCTATTTTCTCTAGTGTATTCCCTAAGCATGAGATTAAATTTTTGATTGGTGTTTCTAGGTCCTGCATTGGTTACAACAAAGGATGCTGGAGATGCTGTCACCTTGTTGCAGTCCCTTGCTGGCTCAACATTTGACAGTAGTCAGCTTGTCTTGACTGCTTGCATGGGCTATCAAATTGTAAATGAAGCTAAATTACAAGAATTGAGAGAAAAACATCGACCGGAAGTAATAGCTGCCATTGAGGAAAGATCAAAAGGGCTTCGTGCTTGGAGGGATTCACAGGGTCTAGCATCCAAGCTTTATAGTTTCAAGCATGATCCTGGATTGGCAGAAGGGTTGGGTGATCTGCAGACCAACGGGGAAGTAACTCTACTGGAGCCTGGATCTGTCAATGTAACAGAGGATGCCAATGCTGATTCTCTTCCAGATCTTCAAGATGAGGTAGTCCTGTGCTGTCTCTTCTTGAATACTAACAGGCTTCCTGTTGCAATGCACTTATGATCTTCTAATGTTTGCAAAACTTATTTCTTTAAGCTGGACTATATATGTTCCTGTTGGATTTTATTTATCAGCTTCAGCTTTTCTAATCTGCTCTTTACTTCTTTATTGTTGTAAATTTGATAGCTAGCTTTGAAATAGAAGTCTGCTTTTTTGAATTGTCACAAAGCATCCTTGGTCGGTGCTAGAACTGAATACTGTGAAGTATGTTAAAAAAGTCACTCATCTAGGTGGCTGGGCACCTGCTTAGGCCATAGGACAATCACCTAGGCAACAATAGTTATAAGACTGGTTCTTTCCATAATATTGTTACTATACACATATTATTAGTATGTGTCTTGCTACATCCTGATATATGTAGAAGAAAGAAGGATAAAAGTCCCTTTTTTCCTGTAAATTATCTCTCTACCACAGCCATAAGTAGGATGAGAGTTTTTTAGTAGTATTATAGCCTTCTTTAGTTCCTAGAATTTTTATGACATGCAATTTCCCTAATAAATATTTGTTATTGTGAACTATTGGAACTATAGATTTAAATGCAGTTGTGTTTTAGATATGATGACTTGTCACATTGTTATATGAAATTCATAGTTATTTACCAAGGGAAAATCTATGATACTGGAAAGTCATGGTACCAGAAAAGACTTCACCAATCAAAGCACTCCCGTGAATTTTGATTAATACCACCTGATTGGTTTCCTCTTTTATGATACTAGTTGTTTGGCTGTAAGCTTTTCCGATATCATAGTCGAACCCATTTATTAAAGAGCGTTGCTATGTTTCAACTTATATATACATGCTGGTTGGTATATCATCTCCTTCCGGTGTCATAGATTTTTTTTTGTTTTTCAAATTTTGTTACCTATTACCTAGGCAACTAGGCATTTCAATGTCACATGGAATCACTGCTGATAAAAAACAAAATGTCACATGGAATCACTTGTATGCCTTGACAATCATGCTTGGCAAGTTTTGACCTTTGAATAGACCAGAGTTATAGACATGGTTTCTTAAGTGAAACCTCAAAGGGTTCCCCACCTTGTTGGTACCTCAAAGTCTCCTAATGTGGCTATTCTTAGGTGGTGCTTGATAAATTTGAAGTCTGATATCTGAAAAGGAGAAAAGCTTTTTTTACAGATCCGTTATCTGAAAACAGTAAATCTGCTTTTGAGAGCCTATGTCATATTAAAAAAAGGAGGGCATGGTTCAGGCCTATTATCACATTTTAGAGGCATGGTTCAGGTGTTAATACAAATGAGATCCGACCTCTGTAAACAAGTTATTCAGATATCAGACCCCGTTTCAGTATTATCAAACACAACTTTTTTTTTTTAAATCAGCTTATCAAACACAGCCTTAGTTGGCAGTTCTTATTTGTAGGCTCTCTTATCAACTCTCTTTGAAGAGAAAAGGGGAAAGAAAAACAGAATCTCTGATGGCTTTTTATTGGTGAAACAGGCAAACACATATTAGGAATTTAGGATATAGTATATTCAGCATAGACTATCCATTCAAAACTGAAGTAGAATGCCACAGCCGAGCTAGTTTTTTTTTGGCAGGAGCCCGAGTCAAATTTGTAGTATATCTTTCATTTCAGTTGGAATATAACATTTGAAGTATAGACGTCAAGGAAAGAAGGTAGAGACTAAATATGTTCCCTTTTTTATAGGAAATTCAGAAAACAAATGGAAATCGTAAGAGAGGGATCTTGGAAGTCCTGTTGGTATATATTTCAGGATGGGTAAATTACTTAAACCTCCCTTTGGTTTCTGACAACCACATTAATTTCCAATGACCTCTACAAGTTTCTCCCCAACATCCTCAATATTGACAAAAGAAGATCCCTTCTCTTAGTTCTCATAGACAGAGAGCATAAAATTGCAAATATACCCTTGTATCTCCATTTAGGAAGGAAAGTACATTTTCTCTCACCACCACCAAGGTTACCCTGTGATCAACTTTCCGTTCAATCAGCTTAACAATATTGCCTTTGTTGATCATTTGGCCAATTGAATAATGACTTTTACCTGAATACGTAAGATGCCCAGTTGCCAAAAAAATGTAAAACAGCCTATGGAGGGTATTTTGGGTAATAGGCATTCCATTATTGTTATCCCTGGGTAAAATTAGAATTTTGTAATGTTTAAAAGCATGATGCCATTATTTTCAGTTAATCTTAGGGGGTTTTCAACAACATTGTTGCCACCACATCAATACGCAAAAGCGATATAACTTTGCTGAAGTGGCCGTTGTTTTCGTTTTTAAAAACAAAACCAAACATGTTCTCTAACACCCCCTTAATGTCAAAGTGATGGAAGGGGTCTTGTTGTAGTGACATTTGAGGATGTCGAGGGAACAATTTGGAGTATCATAGTTACGGGGAGGTTAAAGCAGTTGTCAGTAACCAGAAGGGAGGTTTAAGTAATTTACCCATTTCAGGACCTCCTAAAATGGGAAATTTCATGGTTAAGCATTGGCAAATTTTGGATAAAAGATCAAATTGCAGTCGGTGAAAATTTCATGGTTGGAAAGGAAAATTCCTTTCTTTTGCTGGGAAAATTACATTGATAAAGAGTGTCCTTTCCAACTTGCCGACTTATTACCTATCTTTATTAAAGGCTCCAATGACCGTGTTGGAGGAGATAGAAAGAATCCAAAGGGAGTTTTTGTGGAGTGTGAGGGCTGAAAGAAAGAGAGTGCATTTAGTTAAGTGGGAGGTGGTGTGCAAGCCTAAAAAAGAAGGGGGTCTTGGGGTGCAAAGGATGGGGGACTTTTTTTTTTTGATCAATAACACTTTCATTAATTCATCAGTAGAAAATTTACAAGTGGAAGACAAACACACTTATCTTCCAAGAGTCACAAAGAACTTCAAGAAAGGAAAGAAGAAAATACAAAGATACAAGGACACTAACATTACAACTTAGCCCAAAACAAGGAATCCCTTTCTGC